GTATACATAGTGCATACTAAATACTATATTCTCTTAATTTCATTGTACTGCACTATTGTAATTAGAATGATTTCTCACATGTGTTGCTTTTGTAGTGTGAGACATCCTCGTCGAACATTTTGTAGACTAGTGTTACTGTACAATTTTTTCTTTTTGATATTTTAATGGACATAATTAGGTACTCAAACTATGCTAGTAAATGCAAGACATTAAAAAAAAAAGCACTATGGTATATTTTATCTAGATCTGTGCACGCGCTGTCTCTTATACACATCTAATATATAAGATTTGTATAAGACAAGTATATGTATAATAAAAATACGAAAGAGGATTTTTCTTATTAGAATTCCAGGGGAAAACGATTTTTTGATATGTTGTAGGTCTGATTTTTCCAGGACAGAAAAAGGTTGTTTGGCACAGAACTGGGGAACAGTGAATGAGATACAGATTTTTGAATATTTAAAAATTGGGGAAAAGGTGTAAAATTGTGCAGTTTTTAAATATTAAATGCACTATATTGTTCCATGTTAGTGTTAGATAAGTATATGGGAGACCATATGAGCTCCTTTCCGTCCCTGTGATGTATTCAAAGGTATGTTTAGCAGGTGAAACACACATTTCCGCGAGAGAGTGTTTTCTTTAAATAGCTTTATATTGTGTTCGACGCACTAAATTTAATCCAAATTAAGGCTAGGTAAGTACCAGGTGACCAGTGCAACGTTTACTGTAGCCCGTGAGTGTATTTAAAGGTGCTGTGTGTTGTGATAACATAATTTCCGCGAGAGAGTGCCTTTTCCTTTAAACAGTTTTAAGTTGTATTTAATGCACTATATTGTTCCATATTAGTGTTATATTATGAGTACTGTATTTGGAGACCATATCAGCTCTTTTCCATCCTCTGTGAGGTATTTAAAGGTACGTTTAGTGGGTGAAACACACATTTCCGCGAGAGAGTATTTTCTTTAAATAGCATTATATTGTGTTAGACGCATTAAAATTAACCCCAAATTAAGGTTAGGTAAGTACCAGGTGACCAATGCAAATGTTTACTGTAGCCCGTGAGAGTATTTAAAGGTGCTGTGTGCTGTGATAACATAATTTCCGTGAGAGAGTGCTTTTTCCTTTAAAGTTTTAAATCGTATTTAATGCACTATATTGTTCCATGTTAGTGTTAGATAGGTATTGGGAGACCGTATGAGCTCTTTTCCATCCTATGTGAGGTATTTAAATGTACATTTAGCAGGTAAAACACACATTTCCGCGAGAGAGTGTTTTTTTCCTTTAAACAGTTTTAAGTTGTATTAAATGCATTCATGTTAGTGTTAGATAGGTATTGGGAGACCGTATGAGCTCTATTCCCTCCCCTGTAAGGTATTTAAAGGTACATTTAGCAGGTGAAACACACATTTCCGCGAGAGTGTGTTTTCTTTAAATAGCTTTAAATTGTATTCAACGCACTAAATTTAATCCAAATTAAGGTTAGGTAAGTACCAGGTGACCAGTTCAAACGTTTACTGTAGCCTGTGAGTATATTTAAAGGTGCTGTGTGTTGTGATAACATAATTTCCGCGAGAGAGTGCTTTTTCCTTTAAATCGTTTTAAGTTGTATTTAATGCATTATATTGTTCCATATTAGTGTTATATTATGAGTACTGTATTTGGAGACCATATCAGCTCTTTTCCATCCTCTGTGAGGTATTTAAAGGTAAGTTTAGCAGGTGAAACACACATTTCCGCGAGAGAGTGTTTTCTTTAAATAGCTTTAAATTGTATTCAACGCACTAAATTTAATCCAAATTAAGATT